AAAAAAAAAAACCAACATGGAAGTAGGGACTAAATTGGGAGGAGAGGTAGGGATATAGGAAAACTGTTCAGGATTTAATAATTCTATTCGATTTCTAATGCCAGCAGTCCGTTAGAATAATGAATGTGCCCACCTAGAGTTCTGCAAATCACCTGCACCAAAGAGACATTGTTTTCCATGTCTCAAGAAAGGGAAAAATTTCATTATAACTCAAACCGAACTTCCCATTACTTCCCCAAAAGTATCACAGAGGCCTCTCCATTAAGTGTGCAAGTTGAGTCTCAAGATAGCGATAAAACTGACCTAAGTAAAGTGAATATTGTGTGTACAAAGACAACTGGTATACTATACATTTTGGCGATAATGCAGTATCATCTCAAATTTATCATACACAATTCTCGATGCGTTCTCTCAAGGTTGGAAGTAATTGGAAGATCCTGTAAATTAGACACTCAGAGGTAACCAAAGAAGCGATAAAGCTGCTGTGTAAAGCAGATCAAAGATTCTGCTCGCTCTAATTTGGCAGTACGTGGGCTGTGACACCCACAGATCTGTAGGCATTTCCCAGAGACACACAAGTCTTTCACACGGGAAAACACACAGGGAAACATACCTTATAAAGGACATTCAGAAGCCAGGCCCGCCTGTGTCTGAGTCCTGGCTCTGACACCTTATAACTTTGTGCATGTCTCCTCCAATTTACAGTTTTCTCATATAAAAAAGTGGGCATACGACTGCTTACTAACACCTGCCTAGGAAATGCGTGTTACGAGAATTAAATCGGACCATGTTTGTAAAGCACATAACTAACGGCTAGCTCTTAGTATGAGCTTATTAAATGCAATTCATTTTTTACTATGCTTGCGTTTGAGAGGGGAACGTGTGCCATCGTAAATTGGCTACTTCAGTCCTTTATTATCAATAGGACTGCTGTATCAAGTACTTTTGATCATTATAGATTATGATGGGGCTCAGTCTTTTACATAGTGCTATCATATTCTCCGCATTTTTTTTTTAGTTAGGTAATATTGTCACTTACAAAACTGGGAATATATTTTCCTGTTGAACAAAACCATGAGTGGCCAGAATCACAGGGGAGCAAGTACACTTCAACACTTCGTACGTCAGGAAGGAAAAGTGAAAAGATGCATGACAGCTGAATGTGAAGCTGGCCATCCTGGGCACACTGGAAGAACTTGAACTTGAATTCCATGTGGTAAGCAGTGTTTTCTACAAATGTCTTATTGCACTGAAGCTGGGCCAGTCTAACAAATCCCAATTGTGGCTGAAGAGCAAAGAGCCAGAGGGGGTGTTATAGGACTTCAATTACTTGGACCTAATGGTCCAAATAGGGAAAAACAAAACTGAATATAGTAAATTCAGTGACAGTTTCAACGTGCAGGAAAATGCACAAGCTAACAAAGTAACTGTGCAGACTAATGAAGAAACTGGCTATAACAGTCTTTGGATAGATGTGCAATAATACTGAAACCCTATTTT